CCAGAGAGGTGGTGGATGCCCCATCCCTGGAAACATTCCAGGTCAGGTTGGACGGGGCTCTGAGCAACCTGATCCAGTTGAAGATGTCCCTGCCCACGGCAGGGGGGTTGGACTAGATGAGCTTTAGAGGTCCCTTCCAACCCAAACTATTCTATGATTCTATGATTGATGGCATTAAAAATGGCTCATGCTTGTCTACCCACATTTTAATTGTAGCTAATTAATCCCTTCTATAGACACACTAATGTAAAGGTGTATTGATATAACCTGTGTAAGCATTAGCAGATACCATCTTTTAAACTGGTGTAGGTGTTTCCACAGTAGAAAATGATATATCCATCCCTTGAAAAAATGATGCAATACTGTGCATAGAGCACAGTGCAGAGTCTTTTCTTAACAACTTTCATTTCAACCTTTATTTATTTTTTAACAAGCTTTATTTCTTTGGGGAACAATATATCTTGTGGATTTATGTGTTTTGTCTGTATGAGTAAAATGCTTTCTTGATTGAGTGCGTGCTTATTCATCAGAGAGGAAAGACAAGGAGAGCAGCCACTGGATTACACTCCTGAAGCACATATTTAAATAGTTTCTTTGTTTTTCTGAACAACTTTTCAGATTCAGTCCAACTGCTTCCTGCACTGATAACAGAATGTAATACATAAAGTATGGTATTAATGATCTTCTTCTGTTTTAGAAACATGAAGATGAAAGTGAAGGCTGGCTGCACAGACAGGTAATAGTGATCTCTTTGTGGTCAAGTTTTTGGTAGGTTTTTTGTTTCATTGTTTTTCCCCCAAAGGGAAAAACTGATTTCCAGACCTGAGAAAAATACTTGGAACCTGGCATGATTTGTATTATAGAAAAGAGTTTCTCAGTAATAAACAAGTTCTTATTGAAGATGCCATCTTCTCTGGTAGGTCCCGTAGTTCTTAGCCTGCAGTTTACTTGGATTTAAAAGAGATGAAAAGCTGACGCTGGTGGAAATTTTCCCACTGACAGTATCTGTGTAAGACTCATCAACCTCAGAGGTAGTCCTTCATACCCTGCTTTGAGACTGATGATGATTTTAAGCAGTACAGTGGTTGTTTTCTGGTCTTCTAGACAGGAGAGAAGTCCACTGTTGAAAACAGAAGATCAAAGGTCATTTTATTAAGAGGGCCTATGTCCATTCAGAGTCAAAATCATGCAGATAGACTTTTAAGTCACTTAAGCTAAATTTGACAATTTTTTCTGTGTTACTCTGCAGCTATTTGGAGATGTAGGAACAGGGAAAAATGAAATTATATTGTCGATGGGGCAGTTAAAACAACAAGGGCTTATGTGGAGCACAAGAATGGGGAGAAACTGCCTGATGGAGTTTAATATCCTGTTTTAACAGACAACTGTGTCACATCATTCTTCTGACACTGTAACTTGTGTGCAATATTATTACTTTGTATGGCTACGTGCTCTCACCCCCCAAATGAAATACAACAAAGATGAAAATAAATGCTGAAAAAAAAATAGCTATAGAAAATAGGATATAAAATTTAAACCTGCAAGAAGTTTTGATTTATAGGATTTTTCTATTCTTTTTTTTTTTTTTTTTTTGGAAAAGGGTTTTTTCTTTCAACGTATGTCTATATAAAACCTGTAGATTTCCAGCATGTAAATCTCTGGAAGATCATTTATAACACTTCCCCAGGAATCAGTTTGTGAAGTGACCTCATATTTGATTAAGCTGTTCTTGAGAGAGAAGCTGCTGATACCAACTCAGCCAAAACACTGAACTGTTTTTCGTGGGATATGTGAACGCCAGACAGGGAGTAGCATGTCAGATAAAGATCTTGTACTACATTTTCCAAGTGCAGATTTAAAGTATTTCACATTTTCGTCACAGCTTGTTCAGAGGATCCAAGAACCTGTAGAAACCACAGTACATCAGATCACAGCATGGACAACGATCTCCTCTCTCCCAGTGGCTGTCCTACAGCAATGGGCTATGTCTGATCCAGATTACAGAGGAGAGAGATTTTGTGCTCCAAGCATTTCAAATAATCTTTTGCTGGTATACTCAGGTATAGAGTAAAAATGCTGCTGAAGTATTCTTTACATTCATAAGGACAGTGTTAACTTGAGCAGAAAATAAAAGCTTAAAAGACAAATAAGTCAAGAGAAAACAAAATTGCCCATATTTTGTATCTTTGAAAAAAAAGTACTTCACAGGATTAATTTATTTTCTAAATCCAAGGATTGTTTTAATCCTTTCACTGCTATTTACTGGGGCCTCCATCAAGGCAGTACAGTAGAACTTGTGTTTTTACACCGCTGTGGTTCTTTAGTCATTTACCTGCTACATGGACTGGCATTAAAAGATAGTGTTTTGTCCTGAATAACGGTAGTAAATGATCTGCTAATCTCTAACAGGCCTGCTCCAGGGAAATATAGTTTGTTTTACTGCATCTCCAAACATCATATACTTAGTCTGAGGTTAGAGAAGGATGTTCATTACAGCCAAATGAGTCACACATCTCAGTACTAAACTAAGATAACATTTGCTATGGACTTTGGAGATATTTGATAGTACTCTTCAAAAGCTTTTGTAAGAGTCTGAAGAATTATAGAACTCTTTTTCCTGTATTTCTGACAACAAAATTACTTAAAATTCTAGTTTTGACTGAATATGTGATTACTAGTATAATTGTATTTTCTATATTTACCTTTTACTCTATGACACATTAATCTAGATAACTGGAAAGTTATTTTCATGGCATGTGTGTCTGACTATGAGAATGATGTGAAAATGTTAAATGCTAGTGCGAGTCCCCTAACCTTTTTAAGGAGGAGATGAATTGCACATTAGGCAGCTACTGAAGGAGCTCAGGAGTGTGACTCAGCTCAGTATGAAGACTCCTTGGTTGAGACATTTTAATACAGGTATATGCATATAAGCCAGGTGTCCGATGCCCCTCTGTAGACAGCCAGTACGGTGAGCACTATGGGCACATGGTCAATGGACCTTGAGTATGATTCAGCCCACCCTGAAGAAGACACCCACTGCCTGGTTGGCCAACTTGTTCTGTATGCTCCATTGACCAGACCTCCTTTTGAGAAGTACCCCAATTTTAAATCAATAGGACTGAGGAACCTAACTGCTTGCCTTATTCTTTAAAATACTCCTTCAAAGTACTCCATACATCGGTTTGAAAAGCAGTCAAGAGCTTTACCTTTTTCTTGGGAGATTAAGTACATCTGGTCTTCCTGTAATTTGGGCAAACTTCACAGTAGGCTGGGAGGAGGAGATGAGCGGAGAAAAACATCAGTATCAGAAGATACTCAACAGGGACATGAGGGAGTCTCCAAGGATGATAGAGTTGACTTTTTTCAGCTGTTTGAAATACTGGGAGTTCTGAGATAGGGCATATAACCCATGAATTTGAATTTTGTTCATGTTTTTAATAGTCTGTGTATGGAAGGTTATAGTAAATGATTTTGTGTTCCCTTCTGGGCTTAAGTTCATTAATGAATTTTATTCAGGTCTAAAAACTTTGGAGACCCTCTCCACAACATAGGCAAAATTTATTAATTAATAAATTACTCCAAGTATAATGAGAAATATACAGTATTTACAGAGGTTCTGCTAGAAAATCTCTCTCACTTCTTGGCAGATGATATGAATTTTCAAACCTTTTGCACAAATAAGAACAAGCACATGTTCAGCGAAGCTGCCTAGGGATTTTGGAAGATTTTACTGCTTTTATTTATATATTTGCTTGTGCACTTCTGAGTATAAGAGCCAGACTGAACTTCACTCATACTTTTGCTTAAATATACAAATTCTTTGAAACAGTAATTATCAGTGTAAACAATTTTGTTTCAATTTTTGTGAAGAAGCCATTTTCCGATAGTGCCGGTGATGGTCATATACAGGCAATGAATCAGCAAGGGACAATTTCTGAGCACCTGCTGAAGATAAACTTTGCTGGCATTTTAATTGGCTTATTTATTTAATTGTGGATGTGGCCTGAACAAATTTAATTATAAACTAGGGTGCAATTCCCACTCCACCAAAGGCTGTGGGCTTTGACATTGACGTCAGCAGGACCAGGAGATTACCACAAAATTGTTTAGAGACATATAACCTCCAAAAGTGCCTGCGTGGGCTGGCTGGCCTCCCCTGATAACAGTTCCTTTGGGTGGAGTTTTTCCAACTATTTCCCTAGTGTTTCAGATCACCTCAGTCTGAAAATAAAGACTTTTGCTCTGTCAAAAGGTTGAAAGGTTGAAAACCTCACACCATTTTTCTTTTACAACTCCCTTGTCTTAAAACTGACAGCATGATAACCCAGTAATGATTCTTTTACACACAGTTAATAGGCAGTATGAAATGAGATTCTTTTAAATAAAAACAGAGCTCAGAGAACCTTACAAACAGGACTGACTGTTTCACCCTGTAAAGCCCTTTTGTCACGTAACAATGCCATAACTGAGCTGAAGTTGCCCTAAAGACAAAGGATGAAGCAGAAATAGGACCCAAAGCCCCATAATTCAAATACTCAAATTCATCTGCCAGAGCTAACAAAGCAGCTTCTGGTTACAGCGCCTTTGGCACTTAAATGAAGAGTCCTGATTTCATCCAGTGGATTGATACCCAGAGTCATGGACTCCTCTCCTCTCCAGTTTGATGACCCTGTATTTTGATGGCAGGTGCCCTGGCTTCAGAGATGGCCATTGATGTGGTGCACCCAACCACAGATGAGCATGGGGACACAGATAGAGGATGAAGCTCAGCATTGTCCCAGGGGCTGAGCGTGGCAGGGGATGGAAAGAGTTCTTCCCCCTGCACCCAGAGGAGGAGGTGGCTTCATTGTCACAGTAATGCCCATGCGCATTTATAACACTTCGCTGCATTTCAATGAACTGTTTACCAAAATGCAAAGAGTTAAAAGGATTTATGTCACACCTATCTGTTTATCAGAGCTATTGCCCTCTGATACTTAAAGTATTGGAACATTTCCCTGAGAGAATAAATACCTACAGAGCAAAATCATTCATTCTGGGATCTGGGCAAAGGTGGATCAGAGAAAGCGGTTGCAGATCCAGTGATGCTCAGTGATCCCTCTCCAATACCTCTATAATACAGTCTACCTTTTTTTTAATTGTTATTCCTTGTTCCAGGACTTTATGCCCTTCCCTAAGACCTACAGAAGCTCAGACTGCCCTTAGCATTGTCCCCTCGTGCATCCTGATTCTGCCAAACTTGGGATAAACCTCTGAGGCATTCCTTGCTTTCTTCTTCTCCTGACCATTTGCAGATACACTGGCCTGTGTTGCAGAACTCTGAACTCCAGCACTGATCCCTCCAGGAATCACGGTGCCCTCCAGCAGCCTCCCATCACCTTATCTCTTCCACCAAAGCTGAAGTCTTCGGTGGGACTATTTTGATACACAGCGATAAACAGGTTGCTGGAAAAGGAGTTGCTGCTGCTTTCTTTTACTGATAGCAGTGCAGGTTGGTTAGTCCCACCAATTCCTTCTCCAGCCACAGGGTCATCCTTTGCTTAGTGATTATTCCTTCAACTCTGACGATGACTGGGTAGTCCTCAGCTCCAACCACCTATTTCCTTCTTCCTCCACCCTGGGGACAATCGCCCATCACAGGTGAGCAGCTCTGGGTAGATCTGCTTTCTGAACCAGGCCACTGCCTGTTCACACAGGTCCCAGAAAGGCAAATGGGATCAGGGACCCACGCTTACTTAGTCAGATTTAAGCTTCAATTTAAGCTGCTGTAGAATCATACAGGAGTTACCTTACTGGTTTTCTTCCCTTATACTTGAGTCTGAGAGCACTGAGTTATTGCTACGTGTAGCTGACATGAGGACAGCTTTCTCCTTCATCTGCACAAAGCAGAGGATTTCTGGAAACTGGCCTTGACTGTTTGGGAAGAATTCATTTGTCTAAATACAGAGATCTAGCTGAACAAAAAGACAAGAAGAGCCATAAGGACTTAAGAAGTGCCCTACTGAGTCTCGCCACTGTTTCCTCTGCTCCATCATTCTGTCTTTAGCAGGCACAGCAGCTGATGGTATTTAAGGACAGTGTGTGAGCTGGCGGCTTTCCACAGTCCAGTCCTCTCATATTTCACCACCATCTACAATAAAAAGATTACAGATATTTGAGAATATATCCATGTTTGTTCCCTTTAGGATCTGTTAATGAATCATGATTATGTTCAATCCCTTTTTGCACCTTCTAATACCGGTTGCTTCCATAAACCTCCTGGAGCAAAAACTTCCAGAAATTCCCCATCTGCTGCACATGAAAAGTATCTTCTTTTACCAGTGTTAAACTGATCTCCTCTTATTTTCAAGGGGGGCTCTTCTGTTCTAGTGTTGTGAGATTCAGTCAATAATAGTCAGCCAAAGGCTCAAACTGCTTGTATCACATGCAGAATATTTTAATTACGTGCCCAGTGTAGCTCCCTACAGTATAAAATCCTGTTCAAAAAGCCTTTCAGCCTGACATCCCCACCAGTTGCCATCCGGGATGAGTCACCATCTCTGTCAAGGTTTTAAACAAAGTTCTGGTTGTATTAATGCGTTGTCTTTCCAGCAACAAGAACACGCAAACAAGCTGCCTCATAACATCAGCCGAGTGCTAAAGCTTTGCATCTGTCATCCGTGCCATGTACCTCCTTCCCCTGTAACTCTGAATGAACCTCAAACTAATCTGCACAACGCCTGCTCTCCCTGGCAGAGACGTATTGCTGGAATATATAATGCAGTAGGTGCAGATAGAGAAATGTAGGGAGAACTCATTGCTATTTACCTCAGCAAAGGAAAACCTGTCGGGCAGAAGGTTTGCCCAAGTTATCATAGTTGGTTTTTTATGAGTTTTCTGCTGTCATGAAAGACATTTGGAAATAATATAGTTTCATGTTTCAAGTTCCAGAACAACGTCAGAAACAAATGAAACCATTATTTCATAGAGCTGCAACAAGCTGTAAATGGACATATTTTAAAAGATACTGAAAAACTAAGCAAGGGACAATAAAAGGAAAAAACAAACACTTTGAACACCTAATACAGTGTTGATAAATCTCATAAATAGTGGAAAAGGATTAATCAGTAAAGAACTGGGAGCAAAGGAACATACAAGAATAATGTGTTAGCTTATGAGAAATAGAAATGTTTATTTCTTTGCTGTAGGTGTTTGCATTAGCCATAAGTCTCCCTGTGCAATCAAGTTCTTGCTGGTTCAGTGTGGTATCTTGACACGTGCCAAGCAGAAAGCCAGGGTGTTTGATAAACACTGAACCAAAGGAGGACCCAGAAAAGGCTGAGCAACAGTTTTCCTGTTGGCTGCCCTTGAAGAAGAAGGAGCCATGAAGCTGCGCCAGGGCAGGCAGGGCTCAGGCGGTCCCCAGTAAAGCCTGATATCACAGGAGCGGTT